TATTATAATCACTAATAACCAAAGCTAAATGCTTGTTGCTTTACAAAATTGCTTTTTGGAATTAAAAAAGAATTTTTATCAAAATAAAGTTAATATCTGAGATAAATCAATGTTCTCTGAAATTAACACATTCTTTTTTGTATAAGTTCTTGAACATCTTTTTGTATAAATTCTTTTACTTTTCCATACATAAAATGTTTCTGTAATTTGATTTTTCTGATAGAGAGGAATTGTTGTAAAAATAAAATTGACGCTTTAAATTTCAAAAGATATACACCGAAAATACTCGAAATTTTGTAAAAACTAAGAAATAACTAGAAAATAAGTTTAAATACATTACAATCTTATTCTATTAATATATCAATTATTTTCCTTCACAGAATGTTGTCGAGGCAGTTTGCTCGTAATGTTCAATTGCGTGTAACAACACGTTGCTTTACTCGTAGCAATGTTATACGAGAAACTAATAAAGACAAAATTCCTGCACAAAAAAGCAGTGAAAATGATGGTGTGATAGGTAAAGAACGAATTTACATATATACAAATAGATAAAATAACTACTTTCTAAATGAATTAAATGCTTATAATTGAACCGATTAATCTTATTTCTAGCTAAATTTACTTTCAAGACTTATTACTTAAAACATTATTAATAATTTGTAAATTCCTCTTTTTTTTGCGATTTAATTGTGAAAAAGCTACGATATTTGTAACATACAAATTTAAAAAATTGAAATTACATAAAAATGTATTTTTTAAATATATGTACACGTTTTCGTTTTAGGATCACGCATGCATCGTGTAAGTGATTTTGACAAGAGAATGCTAGTTTGGGTAAAACGATATCCAAGCGTTGCAGATGTTCCTAAGGATGTTACGTAAGTGTTACTATCTACTATATTTATGTCATATGAGATCGTTCAACACAATAGGAAATAGAAATTTAACACAAAAACATAAATTTGGATATATTTGAAATCAACTTTTTAGTAGCAATTTTAACATTGGTAATTTCAAAATGATAAAAAACTGACTTTTATTATGAGATGACTTTTTTACGTTATTTCTGATAACATAAATACTAGATTTTAAAAATATATTTATAACAATTTTCACATTTTATGAGCTTTCGTGATACTTATTTGATATTATTTAATAAATAAATGTTTTCTTAAACAGAGAAGACTGTATACTTTCTGCAAGAAATAAAGCACGAATCAAGACCTGTAATTATATGATTGCTTTTACCCTAATTGGTTGCCTAATCTCTGTAATACTTGGTAAAAGAGATGCTGCAAAAGGAGAAAATTTAATTAAACAACGAGATGATTGGCTTCGGGACCGATTGGCAGAAGATAAAAATAAATAGATATATAAATACTCAGGGAATGTAGAAGTCTTTAGGATATATTTTCTGAGAAGCCCAGACGGATATTATATTATCGACTGTCATTATTTTAAAATGATATTTCCACATGATATTTCTCACAAAACAATTAAATATTTCGTTTCGATCGCTTTAATGATTTGTACTTGTAATATACAAGGCTGTTAAAAACGACAATCTTTCGTAACAACAAAGCAATAAGATACATTTTATGTATGTACAGATATTTACTCTGTAAAATTATGTATTTTATTTACATTTAGATCATCGATTTATATATACTGTATGTAATGAATGTCTGATTCTCATTATTAGATTTAGTAAGCATTTCAATTGCTTGTACAATATAAAATATCTAAATATACAGTCTCAATAATCTGTGTACTTTCAATTATCCTTGTATATAGCGAACAATTGCGAATAAACTCTTATAAGAGGATCAGTATGTATTGTACATCACAAAATAACAATGATTCGTGAAACGAACAACTTATTGCCGTTGACGTTTACAAAATTACTATGTATAGCTATATATTGTAACAATTCAAAAATAATAGCGTTCAAATAACCATATACCAATAGCTTCAGATTATTCGGAAGTTCTATGCGTCTATGTGCATTGGTTTGTAGAATCCGCGGCACCTCTCGTAATAGACTTGTATTGTACGTTTCTTTACAATTTCCTCTATATTGAGCTCAGATTGTAACAGTCTCAATTTGGTCTGTTCTTTTCTTAAATTTTTTACTAACGACGGATCTCCGTCACCATTCTTCTCTCTCAAATCTTTCAACTGCATCACCCTTTCCTTAGTGACGTTTACGCATCTTGTGATCGCTTGCGTTCTCTGCTTGTTTTCAGATTCTATCTGCTGGAACAAGTCTTTACACTGCGTGGCAAGGTCCACTTGACCTTTGAAGGACTCGGTAGGAATTGTAGAATTCAGCATATAAATTATTTTGTCATCTATCTGTCGCATCTTTCTTAACGTATCCTGAAATACATATTATGCATTTTTTACTACTTTTGTATTTATGTAATTTCAATAAAATTACGCATTGATATTTTCAGAAAATAATATATGAAAATACATGTACAACTATAAATGATACATTATATATTTGAGTTTTTTTTATAGATTTCTATTGCACACTTAGCTAACCTCTCATGTACATGTTCCTAACCTCTCAATAAAGCGACACGAATGTAAATGCGTCCGGAAAAAAGACGTGGCTTTAACAATACCGTTGAGATTCTACGCATCGCTAAAGTCTTAAGTAATCTCTTTTGTAGAGCAGTTTACTTCTTTTGCATAATAAAGAGACGTGAGACCGTAGCCACTAGCCGGTATCAATTATAAAATTTTAATGCCTTACTTTAAGATGACTTAACTATTGTTAAATATATACATATTTATTATGCTCGTATAACGCGATGTGCGAATGCACGAGTGTTACGTAAACTTTCTCGCTTTCGGAAATACCTGGAATTCTAAAAAATCGCTACACTCCACGCTCGCGGCTGCCATTTTTTAGGTTGGAAAGTCGCACATGAACATGAACCAGTTCAAACGAGATACATGAGATCCACTACAAACTGCAAGTTGGGGACGTCGGAATATATATGGAAGAAATAGAAAAATTTTTTACTATTTTAAGATCTACTCGTTTTATTTTTCAAGTTGTATTTTTTTCGACCAAACAATTAAACATTATATTTACATGCCTTTTATGGTATTTTTATTTTTTTTTACTTTAGACGAGTGATTGGTTGATTTTTTAAATAAAATTCTCACAAACAATAAAAATACTTCTACAATAATTCGCTGTCTGACATTTGAAATATTATACGCTCGGCCTTCGTCTTCTGGACATCGTTGCTCTTTAGTTCCTCCTTCACCTCCTTGACATCGTTCTCCACGGTTGTCGACGTCGGCGCTGCCACCTCCGAGGAATCGTGTTCCTGATGGCCACCGTCGACGACGACGGCGCCGCCGCCATCGTTGCACGTCACTGACGTCACCTCGACGGTCGGCGGCGACGCGGCGTTGCCGTCGCGCTCGACTCGGCGTCGTTCTTGTTGCCGCTGACCTCGTAGCAGTCGTAGCATTCCTCCTTTTTGACACAATCCTGCTGCTGCAGTCGCTGTTCCAGTTTCGGACTGTCGCTGGCCTGCAATTAGGTTTTAATAAAATAAAATTAGGTGTTATTAAATGAATAAAAGAAATCAATTTTTCGCTGGGCGTTCGTATCTCTCATCTTTTTTGTGCGACATATATCGTACGTGTTTTGTTGTTGTCATTTGCGCGAGCGTCGAACAGCACGAGCGTCGTCATATTATTATTTTTTGAAACGACTATTACGCGGTAGTTTACTGTAATTAATTTATCCATGCGACTGAAGATCGTTAAGGCCGGTTCTACAATCAGTCGTATGTCAGAGTCGGATATCGTAACGTAGCCGATGATCCAATGAGAGAAATTCATTTTCGAAAAAAAAATTTTCTCATTGGACCATCCGGGTGCGTTCTGAAATCCGACTCCGACGTACGAGTGTAGAACCGGCTTAATTGATCGAATCGATAGCTATGTGTTTCTATTGACTTAATTGTTTAAAGGAATTGAAGTGATATAAGGAATAGAAAAAATGATGATAATAGCAAATACAAATTATTATTTTGTATCTTCGAGCAGTCAATCATTTCGTAATCAGGCGCCAATTTGACTCTCGTCGTGTCGCGCGGCGTCACTGTAAAGTTGGCGTGGGCCGCGGGGGGGGGCGCGGGGCGCGGCGTCACTCTCGAATCTTTCGTCGCCGCGAAGGCGCGAACGCAACGCTCGCGCATACAGGACGGACGGATAAATTTGTCGCAGCTCGTATAATCGATAAGATCCGGTAAGCGCAATCATTATGAGTTTCCGTATTCAATGGTGTCTTAGTATTTGGCACCCGCGCGACGTAGATTCAAAGCTCGATACATATTGCTTAAGGCTCCTGGATGGTCAGCCGAGAACTCTGCGTTGACGGTGGCGCCGCCACTCTCTCCTCTCACTCTCTCCAATGGAGAATTCTGTCTTGTGACATGTTGACAACCTATTTTGTCGTCCTTGCTATTTCTTTATTACTCGCTCTGTGCTTGTGCTCTAACGTTTAACGTATTCGTGAAAATCGTAAAATTGACCGAAAAGTAAGATTTGCATGCGGAAGTAACGTTTTCACCTCCTTTCGATAGTCGTTAAACGGCTGTTTTTCCCGTATGTTTAGGCTTTGTTTTATGGCTGTTTGTTTATTGTCGAGGGAAAAGGGTAGTTTTCGGTCAATTTCGGAAGTGTTCTGAAACGATCTATAGTGATGTTTTATTGAAATGTCTCTTTATTTGAAAATGGTACGGACGACAAAATTGGGTGTTTTCCTCGCCTCAATAGTGAAAATTCAATATGGCCGCGGTGACCATCCAGGAGCCTTAAGGTATTTCTCGCGATGCGTTCGTTCGGCCGAAATCAATCGCGCGGGATCACGGGAGAGATGGCGCATCGTGACATCACTCTCTAATCCCTCGTCGTCGCGGGTACAGGACGGGCCTATTAGTCGCGGCACGTTTAATTAATCGGTAAGCACAATCATTATAAGCTTGAACTCAATCGTGCCTCCGGTATTTGACGCGCATACGACGTAGATTCGACCGGTACATCGGTGACTTCATAAAACGAGTATTTCGCGAGATGCGCGTTTAATCGAAATTCGTCGCGCGGCATCACGGTTAATAAGATGACAGCGTCACTCTCGAATCTTTCGTCGCCGTGACGTCACG